ATTAGTGGTGTTGGGTGTGTGTGTGTGTGTGTGTGTTTGTAGGTGTGTGTGTTTGTAGGTGTATGCGTATGTGTGTTTGTGGGGTGGGGTGGGGATGTGTGTGGGTGTAATTTTGTGGGTGTGTGTTTGTGTGTGTGTATGTTTGTGGATGTCACAACTAGAAATTTTGTGTCTTGTAATCATTACATTCAAGTAAAATGTAGAATCAAAAACTTAAAAGCATGTAAGATGCTTACTCTATGACATCAAAATTTTAAATCAAATACACCATACAAGTATTACAAATAGTCATCAAGCAATTGGAAACCCTAGAAGTTCTTGTTTAGGTCCACTTTGGACTAGGACTTCCTTATTGGACTCAAAGGACCAATAAGCTTCCAATTTGACTACCATGGGCTTAGAACCTTTAAATGGGCTCTAATTGGACTCACTTTCATTTATTCCAACATTTTGGACCACATTGGGCCTAGAATGAAATAAATTAAATATTATGAACCATTATGAACCATAATTAACTTAAACTAGCCCAACAAAGTATAAAAAAATCACACTTATATTTTATAGGGCCAATAATCATTAAACTTAACTCTAATATGGGCTTAAACATAAGAAGCCCAATATTCTCCCTTTCCTTCTTCACTTCTCGGCCCAACAACCCAACATGGAGGAGGGTTGACTTTCAATTGCCACCTCATTATTACCTCTTGGTTCTCCATGCAACATATCTCATACTTCCATGCATATATCACCTCAAGGTCTACTTCTTCCTCTCTCTCTCATTCTCGACCGATTTCAAACACACACACACACACACAATTCTCTCACAAAACTCTCAAGGAAACTCCCTCCACTCTTCATCAAGATCTCGAATTTTAGAAGGTTCTTCAAGAAGATATTCCCACAAATTCTTCATCTAAGGTAAGATTATGCTTGGATCTATGATCTAAATTCTTTGTTTCATCAAAATCTCTTCTAAATTCGTTCACACTTATGATCTTGCATCCTAGAATCACCTCAAGGTCGAAATCTTCATCAAAGTGTGCTAGGGCCGAAAATCACCTCATTTTCTACCATCTTTTCTCCAAAACCGAAACCACACCCAAAGGTGAGCTTCATACCCCCTATTTTTTGGTTTTTATAGGTTTTGTGGGGGGGGAATACAAGCAAATGTGTAGATCTATGAGTATATGTATGCTTTGTATGATTTCTATGCTTATTTACATGTTTATATGTGATTATGGTGTTGAAACTAGTCAAAAGACCTTAAAAATCGAGATTTGCATTAGGATGTATGAAACAAGTGTTAAACATATTACTACACACAAATCATTTCTAGAAAAATAACCAAGTTGGTTAAAATGAACTCATTGGGCTAAAAATCCCATTTTTGGACTCAAAATGTTAAAAATATGAAGTTAAAGGGCCCAAAATGACAAAATACAAATTCTGATGGATGAAATGAGTCAAAACAGTTTCAATAAGGTATTTTTCTGGAAATATTCTCTTTGGAGGATTAAATGTGAAATTTTTAAGCATAATGGGCCAAAAATGAATTTTTTTGGCCTAATAAAGCCCAATATGCGTGATTTTCAATTTAGAGGGGCTGAAACTGTATTTTTCTGTAAAACAGGGGACTACTAGTGCTCTAAGTCCATTTCAAAGGTTAAAAATGATTTTCATATTTAAAAGGGACCAAAGATGCAAAAAATTTCTATTTTGGGCCAAAAGTGTAAAAATTGCGAAAATAAGGGATTTAGCCGAGAAAATTTTCATTTGGTGGACTAAAACTGTTTTTCAAATAACTTTGGGCTGAAAAATAACTTTTCCACAAGTTTGGATGCTAACGTGTAAAGAAAAATGGTTTGAGGACTAAAATAGAAATTTATTTTATACAAAGGGTTAAATGTGTAAAATTATCTAAAGAAAAGGGGCTGCAATAATGAAACATCCTAATGTTTTAAGAAATAAATCTGTCATGATGAAATACTAGCACCTCGACTATTGGCAAATTATAATACACCTTCAACACCAAAAATCGTTATCAAACGAATTGATTCGGTCTCGAATCAATAGCGAATCCGAAATTACTAACACGACGAAACTTCAATACACACGCGGAAATTTCGGGAAGTCAATACACACGTGAGAATACACCAGACGTCGATACACCGTCTTTGGGCTCAAAAGTTTCAAATCGTGGTTGTTGGGCCTAGCTAGCCCAATGGCATGATCTTTAGGCCCGAAGGAAACTCGCTTACATGTAAATGGGTCTTATATGACCTAATTTCGTGTAAAAGGACTTTTACAGGCTTTGCGCTATTGGACCCCACGGGCCTTCTGGTGCTGCTAAGAAAGGCGAGAATTCACCAAATGCGGGTCGGGCTAAGGGCCCTTCGCATTCACGATAGCCTTGAACGACTTACGGAAAATATCGGGACTTCGCACCCTCTTTTCCTCCTCAGTTGTGGGGCTACACGAAGTCCGGGTGATTGGATTAAGTGAATAGTGCGAGCGACGCCTAAGGGATCGTTTGCATGGTTGTAACCTGGTCATTTTCATTAATGTGTGTTTATAACAATTCACAACCAATAATTAATCCAACGTCACCGGGACTCAACGAATACACCCGTCGTAATGAAATAACATGATACAATTCATTAATGCAAAATATTAGGAAAACATCGGATTTTCCTAGGGTTTTCAATTAACATACCTACTAGTACATACCGAGTTTTACAAATTGTACTTTTACATTTATAGAAACAAACAAGCATACTTACGGATCTTCACACTTTTTATACTAAGTTCTTTTTAGAAAATATTGGATTTTCTGGTGATTTTCAAAACAATACAAACCACTTATTTTCAAACAATACTTATGAACTCACCAACATTTCATATGTTGACGTTTTTCAAAATACTTGTATTCTCAGGTAACAGGTAAATCGAAAAGGAAAAAGAAATGTACTCAGTAACGTTTTGCTGTTGTTTTAATTAGTACCGCACAATTTACTTTTGGGCATGTAATATTATGGATCAATGTACCGAATGTAAACGCTACCAGTTGTAATATTCCAATGCTTGGTATTGTATAATGTTATGTTTCATATATATTCATGGTGATGGTATTCAATTGAGTCACAATAGCCCTCGGATGTTTCCGCCGTCTGGTTCGGGGGTGTGACAGTGGAAGTGTAGGTGGGAGTGGGTGTGTGTTTATGGAGGTGGGGTGTATGTTTGTGTGTGTGTGTTTGTATGGATTGGTGTATGTATGTATGTATGTATGTATGTATGTTTGTGGGGGTTAGTGTGCGCTCGTGTGTGTGTGTGGGGGGGGGGGGGGTTGGGAGTGAGTGTGGTGGGTTAAGGGTGTTAAGGCGGTGATATGTAGAAGTGAATTAGGTGAGAGTGAGTGTGTGTTTATATTTAAAAAAAAATTGAAATTAGAAAAATGTGAAAAATAATGATTATCGGTTTTTCAAAATTTATTAATTTCTTTGTAATTTTAGAAAACGAAATTTTCATTTTTCATGAAAAAATTAGAAAAATAAACCTACTAGACACGTTTTCAAAACTTTTATTTATTTATTTTTTTGAAAACGATCAATTTTTCCTCAACATAAAATTTTCAATTGCAACAATCAAACATTTTATAATTATAAGGGATAATAACTTAAAAAGGTAATGAAGTTTTAAAAATGTACAAAAAATACAATTATTTTATTTTTAGTACTCAAAATACCATTAAAGTATATTTTTTATACACAAAATACCAATGAAGTACACATGTGTTCAAATAATACCTTGTGGGTAACCTACAATAGCCGGTAAAATGGTATTTTGTGTAAAAAAAAACAATGGTTTTTTTTGTACATTTTTTAAACTTCGTTACCTTTTTAAGTCATTTTTCCTTCTTTGAATGTAATGAAAATTTAGCTACTTTTTATAAAGAACCCCCCACTTCACTTCGACCACTACTGTTGTTCATCGCCACCCTCCACCACCATAGCAAAACCCTTTTTCTTATTCTTCCTCCTAATCATCTGCCTACTTTCATCGATGCCGGAATCTCACCAGCCACCTCCGTTTCTCGGCAAATCCCTACTGCTTCTCAAAACCCAAAAATTCTTGTTCAGCCAAAGTACACTTACGAGACACGATACTTTGATCAGACTCTTGATCATTTCAGTTTCAATGATCTTCCCAAGTTCCAACAACGTTATCTCATCAACTCCGATCACTGGGTGGGCCCAGAACCTAGTCGTTTGGGCCCAATCTTCGTTTATTGCGGCAACGAAGGCGACATTGAATGGTTCGCTGCCAACACCGACTTCGTTAACTCGCCCCTCGTTTTGGTGCCATGGTCATCTTCCCCGAAGTAAAAGCCCTAATCACTCTACTCTACATTAATTTGTTCACTTGCAAACTTTTAATAATACAATTTTATCAAAAGCTGCGTGATTTGATCTAGCATCGATATTATGGTGAATCGATGCCATATAGAAGCTAGAAAGAGGCATACAAGAATGCTTCTACTTTAGCCTATCTAACAGCCGAACAAGAACTTGCTGATTACGCTCTTCTCATCACCGATTTGAAGAAAAATTTATCAACCGAAGCATCACCTGTAATCTTGTTCGGCTGATCATACGGTGGAAGTAAGATCTTTTCCAACAATTTCAACAAAAATTAAACAAGCACTTGTTGATTACGCTCATCTCATCCCATTTACCTGAAGTACCTGGTTACCACAATGTTTTAGTTGAACACATTTGTATTTTGTTGGTATTCTATGTACAAATAGTAACATTAATGGTATTTTTTGTACTAAAAAAACAACAATGATATTTTTTGAACATTTGAAAACCGGATAACCTACAATAACCGGTAAAATGGTATTTTGTGTACAAAAAAAACAACAATGATCTTTTTTGTACACTTTTGAAACTTGGTTACCTTTTTATGTCATTATCCCTGATTATAATAACGAATCAAAATTAAAAATCCGACCCCATGTGTTTTTAGCAAAGAGGAAATTCTTCTTTGTGTTTCACTTTTCAGTTTTCACACACGCGCGAGACATCTATCTGATAAATCCCTCGATATAAACAGGGCTGGCTAATCGAAACCTTTCGATCGACGATTACTGCTGGAAATTATGCTTGAAATCGACTAAATTTGAGGTGAAACGGAACTTGGCATTCCGATACATCTCTATGGTTTCGATTTTGTAGGTTTTTTGTTTGCGATATATGTTCTTTCGAAACTTTTGAACCTAGGTCTTGAGAATTTGTGGAATATGAGTGTATCTGCTACATCTGTGTTGATGGAATCGTGGCGGAATTTGTTGTTCGTTTATGCTTGATGAGATGAAAGATGTGAGGGAATCCGAGCATTCAGGAGCTGTCGTAAAGATAGAAAGTTCTTATGAACGTTTAATTGTTAAAAATAAGGCAGCATTCGACTTAGGAGTTATAGGGTTTAGTGATTCCTCTCCTAGGAAAATGTTCAATTCCAATAAAGATAGAAAGAGATCCCGAGTCGTTCTGAGTGATTCCGAGTCAGATGAGTTACCAGACCCACCTCTTCCCCGCAAAGTTCATAAATTCCGAAATACATCGGATGCTTACAGAAGTGGTTTAGTGGAAAATAAAGATCTCCAAACTGAGAAAAAGGTTAACAACAGGTTAGATGATGAGTCCGATGAAGTGGATGAGAGGAGAATGAGGATGGATGTTAATAACGATAGGTTATATAGGCAAAATGGGGATCAAAAGGAATCTGCAAGTGGTAGTGGTAGGATGATAATTCATAGGAAAAGGGATCTTGATTCAGAAAACAATGGTGCTAAAGGTGCAAAAAGTAGTGAGTATGCAATGGACAATGATGAATTAGGGTTATCTGTATCAATTAAGAATGAAGAAGAAGAGGAAGACCTTGAAGAATCAGTCAGGTTGCAAGGTAAAAATGGTGTTTTGATGGAAAATAAACATAAACAAGTGGGTCTTTCACATAGAGGTAACAGTCAGAATCTTGATGGGAAAAGGCTGAGCTTGTCCCATAACATCCATGGTCAACTTGAATCTAGAAAGAAGAGAACAGTGATGCAATCAAAGTCAAATGCACCTAAGAATAACAAGGAAAGCAAGATCAAGCGACCTAATTTCACTGAAAAGCAATTGTTAAGAGAGAAGATTAAAACAATGCTTTTGGGTGCTGGATGGACGATTGATTATAGACCAAGAAGAACCAGAGATTATCTTGATTCTGTATATATTAGTCCTTCTGGAACTGCTTATTGGTCTATAACCAAGGCTTATGATGCACTCAAAAAGGAAGAAAAAGAGAAAGAGAAAGAGAATTCGGTAGCTAAGGGAGACTTTACACCATTACCCAATGAGATACTTAACAAATTAACACGACAAACACAAAAGAAAATCGAAAGAGAACTTGAAAAGAGTAGAAGACACGAAGACAACATTAGGAAGCCTAAAAGGGTAAAAAAGTCTACACAGTTTAGATCCATTGACCAGAACAAAGAGAAGCTTGATTGTTATCTGAAGGAAGCAAGTGAAGACAGTAGTGGCTACTCAAGTGATGATTCTCCTCACAAGGAAACACCCCAGAAAGATGCTGTTCATGTTCATACGAATCCCCATAATTTACATGAAAACAAAAGCCGAATAATTGGCAGAAGAACATTGGTTGTTCGTGGATCTGAAAATGGTTTAGATTCAGAAAAGAATGATTTTATTCCATATTCAGGAAAAAGGAACTTGATTTCATGGTTAATTGACTCTGGAATGGTTTCTGTGGGTGAAAAGGTGGAATATAAGAACCTTAGAAGGACACGTGTAATGCAAGAAGGATGGATAACTGAAGATGGAATCCATTGTGGTTGCTGTAGCAAACTGGTGACAGTTTTGAGATTTGAACTTCATGCGGGCAGCAAACTCGGGCAGCCATTGAAGAACATTTTTATCCAATCGGGCAAGTCTTTAATGGAGTGTCAGATAGATGGTTGGAATAAACAAAAAGAGTCAGAAAGAAAAGGTTTTCATGTTGTAGATGTTGAAGGTGATGATCCTGATGATGATACTTGTGGTTTATGTGGAGATGGTGGAGATTTGATCTGCTGTGATGGTTGCCCATCAACCTTTCACCTGAGCTGCTTGGATATGCAGGTAAGATTTGAGAAAATTACATAAATAGTCCCTGTGGTTTCTGATTTTTACCATGTTTAGTCCAAAATTGTTTCAGATGCTTCCGGAAGGTGATTGGCATTGTCCAAATTGTGCATGCAAATATTGCAATAAGGACAGTGGTAGAACTGGAAGTTCCAGTTCACTTCTTACATGTCGCCTTTGTGAGAAAAAATGTAATATAAGGAGCCTTTAATTTTTGTTTATGTTTGTTTTTTTGGGTTTTAGGTTTGGTTCAAAGACAAATTTTACTCTTGCAGATCATAAATCATGCAGTGGTGAGATGGATATGTTTTGTTTCTGTGGGAGAAAATGCCAAGAGGTATTAAAGTTCCAATTTTTATGGATCTTGATGAATATGACTGACTTGGATTGAGACTTTATATGCTGAAAACTAGAGTTGCGAAAGGTTCCCTTCTAGGGTTATTCTTATTCCCAATGATGTGGATGAAGAGGGCATTCACGTCTTTTCCACTTTGAGAACAAGTCTATGTCCCACCTTTTTGGTCCCTTAAGTTTAAAAAGGCTAGTTAAAAGGTTAATAGCCCGTTGATGTTTGGGCTAATAGTCCATTTTCTTAATAGTTTACACATTTTGTCCTTTAAGTTTAAAAAACAACAAAATATATGAAATCAGGGAAAAAAAATAGGGGTATTTTCGTCATTTCACAAACACTTAACAGAATCCGTTAAACAAAGTTAGTCATAAGGACCATTTGTGTGCAAGGTTTGCTCCATACGGATCGTTCATGCAAAAAAGGATTCATAAGAACTATTTTAGGGTCATGATGAAAACCATAAGGACCATTTGTGAAATTTATCTAAAAAATATACCCAATTATACCATTGTACTTCCAATTTTTTTTCTTATTAGGACATTAACCTTTAAAAAAACTACCCAATTATAGTAACAAAAGTTGCATTAGGTAAATTTTGCAAGGTAAAAAATGTTGTAATATGAAGAAATGAAAGTACATTGCTATTTCTTGCATTGAATCGTGTTTCAATAACAAAATCCAATACTTTTGCAGCTATACACACGCTTACAGAAGCTTCTTTGGATGAAACATGAATTAGATTCCGGATTCTCATGGTCTCTTATCCATCAATCTGATCTATTACCCGACATGTCATCCTTATATTTCTATCAAAGAGCCGAATGCATCTCCAAAATAGCAATTGCTTTATTAGTCATGGATGAGTGTTTTTTACCTATTGTTGATAGGAGAAGTGGGATCAATCTAATCCATAATGTTGTTTATAATTGTGGGTAAGTTTTAAAGTTTACATTCAAATTCTACAAAATCTCCCTTTATATATATATATATTTTTTATAAATTTTCTTCTTATAGATCAAATATTAGCCGGTTAAACTATAGTGGCTTCTTCACAGCCGTTTTGGAGAGGGGAGATGAAATGATATGTGCTGCATCAATCAGGTAGTGAAAATTGAAAAAGACGTAAATGCCCTTTGTTGTGATTGGACCTTGTGAATTTATATTTGATAGATATTATTATATGTGTACCTTAGGATTCATGGAACCCAACTAGCTGAGATGCCTTTTATTGGGACCCGCGATATATACAGACGCCAAGGGATGTGTCGCAGGCTATTGCATGCTATTGAATCAGTAAGCATTTTTTTGGGATAAATACAAGAAATAACAACCTACTTTCATTCATTTATGTATTCTTATAATAGCATCTTACTTTGAAAAAACTACTTTTTCAAAGTACAATGCTCTAATAGGAAGTAACAAAAGTAAAACCTTGATGCAAATGCTTTTTCTTTTCAGGCTCTCACATCCCTCAAAGTAGAGAAATTGATTATTCCTGCCATTGAAGAACACATGGATACATGGACTAATGCTTTTGGGTTTAAACCACTTGAAGAATCATGCAAACAAGAAATGAAGTCATTCAATATGATGGTGTTTCCTGGAACAGATATGTTGCAAAAGCAACTGATAAAGAAACGCACTGTAGAAACCAACATGACTTCAAAAAAAGGTTTAGATTTAAATAGAAAATTCTTATTTCTTTTTTCTCTATTGAATTTTATTCCAAACACAGTGATAGATTATGATTCCTTTGACAGATTCCATTCCTTTAAAAAACATTCTACGAACCAAACGCCCCGTGAGTTTCTTTAATGGTGGTGTAGGCAAGAAGGGTGTTGAGGTGGAAGACTACAATAAGGGAAAGAAATCGGAATTGAATAACACTTCTATCCGGAATGGCGATTCCGAACCCGATTCCAATGTTGTAAAAGGTGGGAATAAGACCGGTTCCAAGGTTGAAATAACTGATTTGCGGAATGGCAATGAAACTGCCCCTGGAATTACTGATTCTGATTCCAATGTAATAATATGTGAACCTCAACTTCAAGTCACGGAAAAGGACTCTGTTTCCAATTCCGTTGTTCTGCGGAATGGCAATGTGACCGATACTCCATTGGAATCAGACCTCCAATTCCTGGGAAAGGAATCTGGTTGTGTGTCAATGGCAAAAGAAAATGATGCGAAGGATGGAAGGGATGCTACCAACGGGAATGTCTGATTCTGTTAAGAAAATTGAGAATCGTCTAACAAAGGACACGAATGTTCTTGTATAAAATAATGAGATCCTAGTTTTTTGAAATGAAGTGTTTTGTTGTTTTTCTAATATTCGAGTCAACTACACCATATAGACAATTCTTTTATTCATAACACTTTTTAGGGTACATGAATTTGATTTATTTAAGTAATGGACCTAAAAGGCCTAAGGTCTGCAATGAAAAAACATATGAAACTAATTAAACGAATTAGCTGTGTATACGATGTTTTGAACAATAAAATCAGAAATTATGAAAAATATATTTGTGTAAACGAATTAAAGCAAAGGAAAACGTATTGTAACAACTACAACACTTTCAAGTAACACAACAGGACACTTATCACCACCATTGATGAACAAGAACATCATGTTATGTCAAAGATTTAAACAAGTCAACATTGCCCATATGTCTTCTAATACTCGGGACTCATCCTACCCTGATTGTAATGGCATTCAAGTAACAAACACTTCACCAATCAAGCAAATAACACATGTATTGATCAATTTCAGGATCAAATCGAATTCAATCGGCTCAACATCAATCTTCATACCACAAAATCTTTCTTTATTATTGTGTTCTTCAACCAATTTGCAAAATCAAACCCTTGAATAATATCAACATCGCCCACAATTCCACCGCATGATTCATTGGTTGAATATGACCCATTCCTCTTCCTTTCTCAACAATGTTTTCATGAGTTTTGATTAATCTAAAAGACAAAGATTTCATTCTTGACCTAGGGTGTGTATGACAATAATTTCACACCCTTTTGGACTTTCATTGATCATGAAACAAATTCTAGGAACCATTCAATCTACTATACTCATGCATCAAATAATCAAGCAATAGTTTCATATAATAATGATCATTATGTATGCATAGTTTTAAATTGATTCGGTCAATGAAATTTGAACATTTGTTATTGAAAATTAATTCACCCAAGACATATTATCAATGAGAAATTACAGAAATCAATAAACTCTAGCAAAAAGTATGGTTTAAGGTGTAGACAACCCTATTATTAAGCCAAGAAAAACGATCAACTCTTTGAGGATATTCATCAAACCTATTGTGTGCCTTAAAACTAAATCTCAACAATAAAATCTTCTGTCTTGCACTATCATTGTTACAATCCCTAAGATATCAATGAATGGTTGGTTCAGTATATGAAAAAATAAAACACTAGAACAATAACAAAAAAGAAAAACAAAATTCAAGTAAAATGAAAAGAACACCTATTTGAAGGTTACCTAAAAATTCAACATATAATCAAATTTAAAAGATAGGTTGTGAACTGATCAAATTCAAAAGCTTGAATAAAGGATATAAGAATTACGAAAGGGGAGACAACAAACATGTGACATCCGCACTTTAGGGTTAGCAGTTTCGATATTTAAGAAAAGTAATGTTAGGGTTAATAAGCACATCGAAAAAATGATGAACAAGCTCATACAAAGTAATAAATGCAAAATCATATAATAAGATACAATCAGTTTATGTTGTTCACATGATGATCACTTATGTGTGTGTGTGTGTGTGAGAGAGAGAGAGAGAGAGAGAGATTTTACCATAAAAGGCTTTTTCGTACAATATATCAGGATTAAAATTAATGAGACTATTTATAGAGAGGTTGAACTAATAACAATGGGTTGAAACATCATCGGGTGTAGCAGCGCTGATAGATTTTGTGACAACTCAAAATTTCCATTCTATACAAATAGTATCACTTCAATAGAAGTTATAACAGACATAGTCGATTTTCAGACTTTTCGTATAAGTTGGAGTAATTTAGGGTTTACACTTCAGTAAATATCAGGAGAGTGGATGCACTACGGTTTTGTGCGACACTGTTATTCCAACACTCGGTTATATTACAAATCAATTCCGGAATAAAAATATTTTCTGCCAAAACTATTTCAGGACCATAAATAGATTTCTCAACTAAATTCATTCATTATTCACAATTCCAACTAGAGAAAAGCCATTTTCTCTCTCACCGATCTTCGGGTTTTCGTCCCAAATCGTGATTACACTTCTCTAGTTGTTATTTAATGCTTGTTATATGCTTAATAACATAGATTACATGTCAAATGTGTGAGATTCGGGAGTTTACCGCCCAAGAACATTCTTGGGGAGTAAACTCCAAAACGAGGCTTAAAGGCTATCTAGTCCCATTTCCTTGATAACTAACTAGCTTAGGGTGTTATGTATGCATATTTGAGACTAGAAAGAAATCAAAAACACATAGCTTTAGGAGTTCACGGCCCAAGAAAGTCTTAGGCCGTAAACTCCAAATTCAAGGGACAAAATGTGTCCTAATCACTCCTAAGGCTTTAGACTTTAATACCCATTTAATCCTAGCTAATCTATGGACTCTTAAACATCAAGAACACCCCTAAAAGGGAGTTTACGACCAAGGAACAACTCTTGGGCCGTAAACACCAAGTAAGGGCACCAAATTGTGCCTAGGGTCCTCTTTAGCCTTTAACAAAAGCCTAGAAGTTATCCTACTTGTGCAAGAGACTTGAAAGAATTAAAACACCCATCCCTTGAGAGTTTACGGTTGTAAACTCCAAAAGAAATGGTCTTTTGGCCGTAAACTCCTCAAAGGAGTATTTTAAGGCCCTAAACTACCCAAAGGATTAAACCACCAAGCAAGGCTTATTCTAGAAATCAAACAACACTTCAAAACACCAAAAACCACCAAGATTAGAGTTCACGGCCGTAAACTCAAGGGTTTACGACCGTAAACTCCTTGTGTGGGGTTTATTGGGTAGTAAACTCTTATATAAAGCCCTTTGGTACATTAAACCCCTTTAACCTTGCCCCATAGCAACTTAGATGCAACCATTAGGACCTATAACACTTATACAGAGTGTTTACAAGTTCCTGAGTGTCCCAACTTATTTTATTAAGTTATTATTGAGATAATTAGTTATATATATGCTCATTATATGATAACTAGGCTCGTGCGTATGAACAAGTCTCCATTTGCCACCTAGCACGGTATCCGATACTTCAATCCAATCCACTCACCACAAGTGAGTTCATACCCCTTTAATTAACCTTTGAAATGCTTTTAAATGTTTTAAATACTTTATTGTGGGGGGGGGGGGGGGGGAGGGGAATACAAGTTAAATACTTACATCAATCACATGTGATTACATTAATCACATGCGATTAATAACTAGAAAACCAATGATTTTATCACTGTTCAAACTGTTTATCAAACTGTTTTACTTCAAAATGTTTTACAAACTCTTTTACTTATCAAATGCTTTTATTAAACTTTGTTTTACTTCTTATAAATTGCATGCCCATATATGTATAGATATATAAGAAATGTTTAAAGGGCTTAGGAAGGCCATCCACCCTATTTCCTTTTCGCGCTTGAGATGTGGTCTGGTGGGATTTCGGGTAGTCGTCCGAAGGTCGTTTCAATATTAATTATATATAAAATATACAAGTATAGACATAAATGTACTTCCATATTCATACTTATCAGTACATCATCAGTAAGTTACCATTGGGGTAACATAGGATCATACTACTACAATTTCTAGAAAAATGAGTCAGTTCATTCATGAGTTAATACTTATTACTACGAGTACTTATACAACTATACTAGAAAGAGAACATATACAACTATACTAGACAGAGAACATATAAAACTATACTAGAGGAAGAACATATACAACTATACTAGACATAGAACATATACAACTATACTAGAGGAAGAACATATACAACTATACTAGAACAGTTCATTACATTACATATACAAGAATACGTTAACAATTGTGATCCACTGTATCGGAGCATGCCTTAATTGTCATGGCCCGAGTTGTAGCCAGAATTCTCTTGGAGGGAGAGCGTGAGTTTGCGTATAGATCTATACTGGATTGACTATCCTACACCTTGCTGCTAGCTACAGCCGGACCTGCAGGTCTGCGGGTGCCAAACGTCATTCCGTTATTACGACCATTCGTATGTCATTGTTACCAGTCGATAGTATGGTGCAATTTATCACATGATATCTTAATATAAATCCGGTTTAAGGTAGTTAGTACAATAGTAGTTCCTATAATACAACACTACAGTACTACAATAATTTACCCATTACATACTTTTAGTGATTGTTTCACTTAAACTTTAATGTAAAAACTATATTTTGTTAAATGATAGTTACACTTGGGAAATTACACACTTTTACAACAAACGAGCATACAAAACAGTTAAGCCTTGGTAGAAGGCTACTTTAATAGAAAATATAGGTTTTTCTGAGAGATTCAAACTTGTACAAACACTTACAAACATCTACTTACATTTTACAAACTTACACTTGAGACACGTTTAAATGTTTTTGGATGAAAAATACCAACACTAAAATACTTATGAACTCACCAGCTTAATGCTGATACTCTTTCAAATAACTTGTATTCTCAGGTCATCAGTAGACAGGTACCGAGGTCAGCTTTTAAGAAGATGGAGCGCATCCAAGACTCATCTTATTATTTTGATATACATTATTTTTGGTGTCTATACTGTACAGAACACGCTTGTATTAAAATTATATATTTAATGCAATGGATGATGTTGTTTGCTTATTTACATTTACTGTGTTGTGATACTTTACATGATGTCCTCCGCCCCAGAACGTTTCCGCCGTTCTTGGTTTTGGGGTGTGACAGATTGGTATCAGAGCATTGTTTATAGTGAATCAAGTATGTCAACCCATAAAAGATATACTAAACTATAAACCCATTTGGGATTAAAACACTCTGACCAAGAGTCAATACATTAAATACTAAGATATTTAATTAAGTATACTAGTCTGCATTCATACTAAAATCAGTGTCACAATGACAAGAACAAAAGTATTACGATTGTTAAATATCACAGGTAAGCTCGGGGATATATGGTCAGTCCTGGGAATGGCATAGCCTGATCAACTATGCTGGTCCGAGGAGTGATTAGCATGTGCCCTAGAATGGTTGTGATATGTGAACAAGTCTAAAAACTTACCAACAAAACCACAAGAAGATCAGTAGAACCTAAACTTAAAATACTATAGGTGTATTTTGTACTACTAGCTACACATATACTATATCCTCATACCTCTCTTCTCGCGTAGATTTAAATGGTTGGATTC